GTAAGCCCCTATAAAATCAAAGGACAAATTATATATTTCCAACATACAATGGAACCAAATGTACATTACAGTTTCAAAATGGAGGAATGGAAGCATATTTAGGAAATACTGAACCAAGACAGAACATAAAAACCAGCAGGACAAACATCAAATCTTGTAGCTCAATGTCTGATTTCTGGGGATTTACTTCCAAAGGGCTTAGATGACTCAGCATCTTCAGCTTTGCTGCAGGCAACATACATCTCTCTCTCTTGGGCTGGCACCACTTCCTGTATGCAGCCCTACTTGGCAGATAGCTCATGACTCTAGTATCTCCAACATCTGGGGTTCTCCATTGCTGAGGAGACTTCACTTTCACAGCTTCATGCAATGGCCTGTCAGGGCCTCTTGACATGTCATGGCCTTCCCTATGCAGGGCTGCTCCTGCTAAATGCTGTCTGGCCTTGGAAGTTCTCTGAAATCATGGAGGAAGACCCAATGAGCCCTTCATTCTTGCATCTTTCATGCCACTACAACCAGCACCACATGGATGACACTGCCAAGTTCGGTTGCCAGCCTGAGATTGACACTGGTCTGCTTCATCCAGATTAGCTGCTTTTCTATGCTGTGGTTTTCTAAGATCAGAAAACCCCTCCAATATTTCCCTTTCACAATTTGGAGATTTAGCTGAGTGTGCCCTTGCCCTGAGCTTACTGTCTCCATTGTTTAAGTCCATCACTGTACACCTCTCTTTAATGGCTCTGATCTCCTTATCAAAGAGAGCCTCTCCTTCAGCACATGACTTGACTCCAGCGTTAATCTTCCTAGTGCTCTTTTTCAATCCAAACTGTACATTCTGTATTTCTTTCTGCCCTTCTTTCTATTTTTCATTGTAGATCACCATAATATTTACCATAAGTAACCATGCCACAGATTGAACATTAGGCTATCTTGAAATTTCCTCTGCCAAAGAAATTAGTCCATTAATTTTCAACTTAGCTTTAGGAAGTTCCTTAGGCTGGGGGCAAATGGCAGCCAGATGCTCTGCCAAAACTTCCCAGTTGCTGTTTAAGTCCATATTTCCCTCTGGAACTGCTTTGCTCTCAACACTACTTTTCTCCAGGCTCCTATTAGAATGCTCTATTAAGATATGTTTATTCAACTGTTTTTCTAGTCCAAATTTCAAAAGTCTTCCACATTTGGGCTCCTCCAAAACCCCACATGGTCAGGTTCTTCACAGCAACATTCCACTTCTGATATCAACTTCTGTATTGCTTTTCTGTTGTTGTGATAAAACACCATGACCGAGGTTTATTTACTTTATTCTTCCAAAGAGGCAATAGCCAATTATGGCAGAGAGGTATTGTGGCATAGGTTGTCATAACACAAAACTAAGCAATCCCATCTTCAAGCAGGCACAAGGAACAGAGAGAAACTTGAAATATGACAAGGCTTAATAACTCTAAAAGCCCAGCACCAGTGACGTGCTTCCTCCAGCAAGACTGTACTTCCTAACACCTCCCAAAACAGTGCCATTAACTGGGGCCAAAATGTTTAAATACTTGGAGCCTATGGAAGACATTCTCATTCAAACCATCTGCAACTGTATCAACTGAAAATGTGTTGATAACTCCTATTATACTACATATTATCTCAGGACTTGTAAGAAAAACAAGTATTTTATTCTTTTCAAACTTTTTTTTTAAGATTTTTTGTTTTTTATTCATGTGTATGTGTGTGAACCTGCATGAGTTTATTTGCACCATATGTGTGCAGGAGCTCTTGGAGGCCAGAAAAGGGTGTCAGATCCCCTGGAAGTGGAGTTACAGGTGATTGTGAGCCACCATGTGAGTGTTGGGAACTAAATCTAAGATTCCTGCAAGAGCAATAAGCACTCTCTTAACTGCTGAGGCACCTCTCTAGTCCTAAGTATCCTCTTCTTAAACTAAGCAACTTCTATATCCCATGCCTGAACTGTGCATGAATCACAATGTTGCAGGACACAGAATTTTTCCATCAAGCAACTCGCTGTGCATTAAGAAAAACAGATATTCATAAAACAGTCCTAAGATGGGGTGCCATGTGGCCTGTTGTTGCACTGGAACCCATTAGTCTGGCCATGCTAATTGGTTCTTTTTGACTGGTCAGCACCTGTGTTGTGCTGGTTGATAATATTACTCTCTTCCCGGAAATGATCATATATTTACTGAGTTTCCAATGTGTTCTAGAAGTTGTGCAGAGTCCTGTGATGGTTTTCAAATTCACTGTCTGTCACACCAGACTGGTGTTTGGGATAAGGTATAGGGGGAAACATTATGAATGTAGGCAGTTTATATGATAAAGTACGAGGAACTTATTGTGGAACTCAAAGAGTAATGGAAAGGGATGGGGACAAGGAAACATTTGGAGCACTAGCTGAAGAAACAGCACAGACACCAACATTAACATGAAGCTGCTGAAGATGAAAGCTCTGTAGCAATTCAGCCTTGCTAGCACCTGGCCCAGGTAGCAGAGAGCAGGGGAGGTCTGAACGCAGGAAGTGTTGGTGAAAGGCTGTGGATGTCAGGCTAATGAGTGTGGACCACATACTGTGACCAGATGCTATAAAATAGCTGTAGGAGTTTCAGCAGGAAATGAAATGCCTGATAAGCCTATACCTCTCTCATCCCACAAGCAGACAACAGAGGGAATGGGGAGTGAGGGTGGATGAAAATAGCAAATTCATAAAACAATGGGACTATGACGGTTGCATTTATGTAAAGAGGGAGGACAAAAGACCAAAACGTAACACCTAAGCATCTAGTCACCTGAAGGGTGGTACTTTCCACATTGAAGAAGTTGGGGAAATGAGAGTGCTTTGGAAAGATACACTATTTTGAATGATTTGTGTTTGAAATGTTTATGGAATGGATTCAGAGAGATGTCCCATTACCTAAAAGAAGAGGCAAAGGAATTTGGGAAATACTGCTTAAAAACCAGTAATCAAAAACCTTGAAACTAGATGCAAAAAGAATGAGCAAAGCTCAAAGAATGAGAAATAAAGGGGTCTCTGGACAGACCCCAACTCTCTTTGCTTAGCACTCCTAGACATGCAGAGCTAATCTACTTATTCCACCGAATACATAAAATTGCTTTAATTTACCCATGCAAAATTCTCCTTCACACCCTCTGCCCTCTTGTCTAGGTTTTGATACAGTTTGTTTGGAACTCTAATCAGGTGAAGATAAGTTTAAATTTTTTCTTAGCTTGTAAACTCTGGCAGTATATTGGATAGTCTTTTGGGAAGGGAGCGAGTTGTATACACATGTTCATATGTTTGCTGGTACACAGATAAGGGGAAACCAGGTCAACCACGGATGTTGTTCCTCAGATGTTTTCTACCTTGTTTTTTGAGACAGGATCCCTCACTAGCCTTGAACTTGCCATATAGGCTAAGCTAGCTGAACAGTTAACCCCAGGGATCTGTCTATTTTTCCCCATTCCTGGGATTGCAAATGTAGATCCCCATGCTGACTTTTTTCAAGGGTATGTTCTGGGAATTGAACACAGATCTTTGTGCTCAAGGCAAGAACTTTATTGACTGAGCATCTCCCCAGCCCTGACTGAGCAGGGACTATTCTTATTCTGTGCTGTGTTCAGTCAAAGTAGGTGTTCAGTCAATGGTAGTGAAATTGATTTAAACTGAGCAGCTTCTGACTTACAATGAAAACTTTCTTAAGGACAGGCATCATGTGCACATCATAATATAACCATCAAGGCAATCTCTGAGGAGTTTATTCTTGTCCTTAAAAATACATGCCCGAGATCTGAGGTTTGGAGAATGAATCAAGTCACATAACCAGTGAGGGATATATTGGACAGCTTTATATCACTGTGACAAAACACCCATGAAAATCAACTTAAAGGAGGAAAGGTACATCTTAGCTCACTGCTCCAGTCCTTGATTACTTGGTTCCATTATTTCTGGGCCCATGATGATATAAAGTATCATTACAGTGAGTGGGTGGTAGATTTTCATGATGGCTATGGAACAAGGAGATCAGGGGACAGTGGTGAGAGGGGTGAAGGACAAGATATATCCTTCCAAGGCATGCCCTCAGTGACCTACTTCACTTAGGCCCCCATCTCTACCCCATCAGTTCATCCAACCATGGTCCCATTAATGAATTAATCTACTGATGAGAACAGACCCCATCATGATCCCATTGCTACCCAGAAGTCCCACTTTGGAACCTGAATGCTTTAGAGACCAAGTTTTCAACTCATAAGCCTTCTGGTGACATTCTGATGAAAAAAATCACAAGGTTAAAAACCAACATAGAATCTAGAATTTTTCTTATCCCAAAATACCCACTTGGTTACTCCCTAATAAATTCAACCACAGGATATCTTGTTTGGTTTTAGACAGAATTTAATGCTGTGTCATTATTATCAAGAGTGGCCATCTAAATTAGAATGTGAGAATTGCAACTTTTAGAATCTGGTTTCTTTTATCTTTACCAAAAGAAATAGTAAGTCTATTTGTACAGATTTAAGCCAAGACCCAACAGGTGGTCACAGAAGTTGGAAAGTATGATTCTCTCCCTCTCTTTCTCTCTCAGTTCTAAATTTAATTTCATATATTTATTTTTATTCATTTTCTTTTATTTTTGAGAATTTTGGATGTGTACAATGAAATATGATTATAACCAGCCCCCTTTATCTCCTCCCCAACATGGCCCTCTCAATTTCATGTCTTCTTTCCTTTTCTCCTACCTTCATCCCTCCTTCCTTCCCTTCCTATTTCCTTTATTTCTTTATTTCCTTTATTATTTTTCATCCTGATTACATGATGATGTGCACATGATGCCTGTCCTTAAGAAAATTTTCATTGTAAGTCAGAAGCTGCTCAGTTTAAATCAATTTCACTAGCATTTTATTCTGGTTCATATTCGTATTAGAGAATTAATAAGATTCCCAGATCCACACCATCTTCATATCCTCACCTGATAGAGTTAAGTGTCTGTGTGTCTCTTTTCTAGGTTTACTGAAAAGCCCAGTGAACAAGACAGCCCTGACATTGATTGCTGTGAGCTCCTGCATCTTGGCCATGGTGTGTGGCAACCAGATGTCCTGTCCACTTACTGTGAAGGTGACTCTGCATGTGCCTGAACACTTCATTGCAGATGGTAAGAGCCCAGCACTGAAGACAGCCCACAGCTGCTTCTCACTTCGTACCACGTTGATCAATATCTCCATGCATAGCTTAACCATAGTTCTTTGATATACAGTACAGGAACAAAGGAATATCCCATGGCTCTGGAAAAAAAACCCTCATCATTTTAAGAGCTTGATTATTGGAATTAAATTAAAGGATTTTTCATTATATGTGTATGGGTAAGGATTGTTAACCACGGGAGGAATTCAAGAATGAGTGAAGGATTGAGCTACTTCAGTGAACCTACTAGTTCTGATTGTGCTTGTCGATCTTATTTCACATTAAAAACATCCCCCGAAGAGTATTAGCTAATTAAAAGTGTGTGACAAGGATTAGAGTTTTTACTGGAATGTGTGAAGGTTCTGGAGAGTGTTCATATCTTATTCTCTGTAAGTATATTTTACAAGTATCTTACAAACCTATCATTTATTCTTTACCCAATTAAATTGAATTAATGAGACACTGTAGTTAGTCACCATGGTCATTAATGAGCAAAGCATAGTCCAAGGATGATTAGGATGCTTGATATCTATTGCTAAAATGCCCTCTAAAAATGTTGATGTGCTTTGCTTCCTCTATCAGGTTATGCCAGGACCTGCTTCTCCAAACTTTTGTCTTCACTTGTCATAACTATCTTTAAATATACTGATGTTTAGCATAAATACTATAAAAGGTATCTATATGTATGCAGCCTAATTATCTTGTATTTTTTAATAAATTTGTTCTTTGACACTTTCATACATGTACAAAATGTATTCTAATTACTCTCTCCTCCCATGGCATCAATATCCTTCCTTCCCTACAAATGTCTTTCCCACATTCATGTCATTTTATTTTATTCTGTGGCTCACTGAGTTTTACCAAAGTCCTCTTTATGACCATGAGTATGGAACCATCCATGGGAGCTGGATTACATGTCTGAACACAATGTCTCCCCTTCTCACAGAATCATTCAGTAGTCAGTAGTTCAGAAAGGAAGGATGGGGTCCCACAAACCCCTCCCCCATCCATAATTTAACTTAATTTTTTCATGCTTTTTAAATATCTTCAATTGAATTAATATACCCGTGAAAGTGTCTCTGAACAAAATACCATCAACATAACCATCACCTCTGCACATTCCCTCTTTCCTTTTTTTTGTAATAACATTTAACATAAGGGGACCTGTGGAGATGGCTAAATGGACAAAGTGCTTGCTGGGCATTTTTGAGGATCTGAGTTCAGATTTCCAGAGCCCACATAAAAAGCTGATGGTGGCATGTGCCTGCAATCCTAGCACTGGAGGCAGTAGGGATGTCTGGGGATTGCTAATCATCTTGTCCTGCCAAATCAGTGACATCAGGTTCACTGAGAGACCCTGTAATAATAATAATAATAATGTAGAGGTAAATAATACTAAGGTTGTCAGAAAATGCACAGGGAAATATATTACTTCAAAAGGTTACTTAAACTGCACATATTGGGGCCGGTGTGGTGGCGCACACCTTTAATCCCAGCACTCGGGAGGCAGAGGCAGGCGGATCTCTGTGAGTTCAAGGCCAGCCTCATCTACATAGTGAGTTCCAGGACAGCTGGGGCTACAGGGAGACCCTGTCTCAAAAAAGACTAAAAAAATGCACATATTGGGGGCTGTAGAGGTGGCTCCATGGTTCAGAGCACTGGCTGTCCTTGCAGAGGACCCAAGTTCAGTTCCCAGCACCTACATGATGGCTAACACTCATCCTTAACTCCGGTTCCAAGAGTACTCATGCCCCTTTCTGGTATCTGCAAGCATTGCACACTTACAGTACACTTATATACATGTAGGCAAAACACTCATACACATAAAATAATATAAAAACATTAAAAAATTTTTATATGCACATATATATGTAATTTGATGTATATAGCTGAAGGATATCTAACAAAAATTAGAGCACCAGATAAGGGAAACCTCCCTTCAAGTTTTCGGTCAGCATAGTCTGAGGGACTCCTAGAATAATATAGGGAATTGCCATAGCCTTTGGTTACCTCACATAACTTGAAGGTAAGACCTTATTGCAGAAGACACCACATACTTTGGACACAGGGCTTATAACTGAACTAGAACCAACCTGGAAACATCTTCCCTAAAGACTATCTCTCATAGTATCAGAAGGTTTTAGGCAAGCTGCCAAGGGATAAAACCAATCAAAAGTCCTACCCAGCTGTAAAGCCTATAAACCACAACAGTGAATGGTCCAGCAAAAATGTTTATTGGTGCACTTTTATTTGGGGGATAATCAATAGCTGTCTAATTGAACTTAAGGCCCACTCAGTAGGAGGGAACCCATGCCTGAAAGTGTAAACATAGCCAAATATACATGGCTGGGAGTGGTCATAGACCTTAGAGAGGTGCCTACTGCTGTCACTTCCCTAAACCAACATAATTCCTTACCACATTGTGAATTCTTATATTCACCGATACATGTAACTCTCACAACTCATCAAAGAAGCTTCATTTTGCAATAGATGGAGACTATTACAAAGTTCCACAGCTGTTCAAAATGCAGACAGTGAGTGACAGTGTGATGCTTAGCCCCAACTGATGTATCTGCATTGCAAACTCTACACCTGAGCCTCAGGAAACATCACAGAAGAAGGGATAGAAAGAGTTTAAGAGCAAGAGAAACAGAACGTCTACCACTAGATAATACATTCTACACACGATCGAAAAGCTGCACACATGAAATCTCCTCAACATGGTAGCATAACAAGATGTGCTTCATGATAACAGCAGTTCACATGCCAAGGACGGTGGGGTAAGTTTCGCAGGTTCCCACCTCTAGTTGAAGAGTTACAGGCACTTGATGGATGGTAAAGAAGGAAGAATCAATTTTCTGTAACAGTCAGCTCCTTGAGAGGTTATCTAATCACAAGTAGTCCACCATAAACACATGTACATGTGAGTCCTACTGCTAAATGGACTCAGTGCATATATATATATTTATTTATGTTATATATATGTATATTATATATGTATATATATATATGTGTTATATATATGTGTGTGTATATATATAAACAATAATAACCAAAGAAAAAAATTAAAGGGAGTGTAGGGGACATGGTAGATGTTAGAGAGGGGAGACCGAGGGTAGAGATGATGTACATACAATACTCATGTATGAAATTCTCAAAAATAAAAAAAACATGCAAAAGAAAAATAAAACAGAGAGTGATTGAAAAAGACACTCATTGTCAACCTTTGGCCTCTATATGAATGTACATACATGAATGTGCATTCATACAGACACATGTACATATATAAATACACCACATATACATGCAAACACAAAAAGTTTATATATGAGTCCACTCAGCTCAAAAAATAATGTGTTTTCTTATTCCTTCCCTCATTTAAGGCTCTCCAGAGGTGACTAAGTTTTAAACTTCTGGTACTACATTAGTGCTTGGGAATTTTTTAAAGCTTTTTTTTTTCATTGGATATATATGGACTGTTTGTTCCACTCCTTTCTTTCTGTCAGCTTTATTGCATGGTCGCTGAGTTTATCTACATTTTGAAGTTATGATGTTCAGAAGATAGGTCTTCTTTCCCCACAGAAACCCTGTGTATTAGTCAGAGTTCTCCAAAGAAACAGAATGGGTAGAATGAATATATATGTATAGAGATGTATCAGCTTAGCTCACAGGATAGAGTCTGAGTAGTCCAACGATGGCTGCACCACACTGGAGAGGCTGAGAATCCGTAGTCGCTCAGTCCATGAGGCTGGACGTCTCAGTAGTCCCAATCTGGTGCTGAAGGTCTGACGAATTCCAAAAGATCAGCTAGTCTTCAGTCTACAGCAGCAAGACGAACTCACCAGCGAGAGAGAAGGCAAGCAGCAAGAAGCCAGGCAGTCTCCTCTGCTGTGGCCTTTTATAGGGGCTGCCATCAGAAGGCAACACCAACATTTAGGGTGTGTCTTCCAGCTTCAGATGATCCAATCAAGAAGATCTCTTTCATTTCAGTAAATCCCAGATCCAGTCAAGTTGACACCCAGGATTAGTCATCACACCCTGCTTCTATTAAGTCAGCCTCAAATTGTTCCTCCTACCCGAATACACAAGCTTTTGTTTCCTTTTTCACCTGGACTGCAAATAACCTCAGGATTTTCATTTCATGTCTATCAGTTGCTTTTCAGATCTTTTGTCTCATTCTCTTCAAATTATATATTCATATAAGTTATTAAATATGTGTGTATGGGGGGTGGAAGATAAAAGAGACAAAATTTACAACAGTGGGAAAAGACCACTGTGCGTGGCCTGCCTCAACACTGCTTTCTCTCACCAGTCCCTACTCATTAACTGTTACATTTTTGTTGTGATTCGTTTCCTTTTATTTTATGTGTATGAGTGTTTTGCCTGCACATGTATAAATACACCATGTGCTTGAAGTGCCCTCAGAGGCCAAAAGAGGGTGTTGAATCTCCTGGAACTGGAGTTCTAAATGATTGATAGCTTTCATGTGGGTGCTGGGAACTGAACCTGGGTCTGCTGAAAGAGCAGCCAATGCCTTTAACTACTGAGCCATTTCTTCAGCCCCATTTAACTGCTAAAATTTTTGTTGTAGAGAAATCCAAGTTTTAGCTCTTGATTTGCATACATGTAAAAATATAGGTCATTAGAGACTAACTTACACAGGATTAGGATAAAATAGTTTAATTGCTAACAACACAGAGTTGGAAAATATGTAAGCCTTACCTCCAGTATTTGTCCTGTGTAAGGACAACTTCGGTAGCCAAGTGGGTAGTTTCCCTTCTCTTCCTGGGTCTCTGCTTCTAAAAATTGGGATAACAGTAGTATTTCTCTCAGCCATACTGTGAGGAAGATAACGACTTCTTCCTTATGGTTATCAAATTTTCAAATAATGTGTGTCTGGGAAAATAGCAAAATCAAAGGGTTATCTAAAAAAGAGGCAAATAATTTTTGTGGCCAAAATGTGATAAAGGA